GGAGCACAACTCGTTTAAAAATCAGTAATTGCCGTAAAATTCTTCGGGAGAAAATTGAATTTGAATATTACATTTTCAATGTTTTTCTTATTGCAAGCGAAATGTATTTTATTAAATAACTCTGCGAGTTTTCAACATTTTTCGTCCAAACTTGGTCAGATAGTAGAACTAGTCTAATGCTTTCATGGAAACCAATAAAAAAATTTTAGGCAAAATTAATACTCAAAGGTGTTCTGTAAACTTAAGTTAAGCGTTATATCCTTACTAGTTGGTCATAACTCATAACTGTGGTATATAACAGACAACCATTGCGATGTACGAGCATACGAAAACAAGCCTATATAAAGCCTATTATTACTAAAGTACAAATAATACAATAATTATGCATTTGTTTTGCTATTTTTATAATTGTAACATTGCAAATTTCACAGAAAATTTCTAGCCTTTGACCCAGGTTCCCAGAAAGAAAAAAAATTTTCCACCCCTGACTGGCTCAGATTCCAGCTGTTAGGGTTCTCAGCGCTCAAGAATGATCAATGTCAATGGTGCGTTGTTTATCAAGAGGAAATGGGCATTGGCAGCGCCTATATTCTTCCAAATTATTTCTCCTTGTTGATTATTAATGAAAAGTTAACAAAACTTGTGTTTTAAAATTAAAGTTATTAAATATAGATTAAATTAATGCCATTTCATTTAATCGGTACAAGTAAAAATCATATACAAGGTTAGGTATGTATTTTATAGACCTTTCACTCGGGGTATTTCCCAAAAATCACCCTGAGGACAGGGCCGGCGCTAAAGGGGTGTGTGGGGGTGGAACACCCCTCAGTCATCACGTAGTTGGCAAAATATTGAATCCCCAGTCGGCAAAACATGGATTTGGATAGGAAGAAAAAATAAAATATTTGAGTGACACCGATAAAAATTAAGAATGATAGCTAAAATGTGGAGAAATTTAAGAAAAAAATAGGGGAAAATGGAACGAACAACGGTGGTTAAACACAAAATAAAATTGAGAAATATGTTGTCTGGAAAATGTTTTTTGAAGTTGAACCCCCCCACCCCAAGAGAAAGTTGTAAAGAGCAAAAAAAGATTAACACAATAGGAATGTATTATATTACCGTGAAAATGTCTAACAATATCTTTGCATATAATAGTTTTGTTTGTGGAAACACCACGTAAATTTATTACTGCAAAGCTTTCGATCCGTAAGCCCGGATCTTCATCAGTGCTAATAATGTGATAATAATATTATTAGCACTGATTAGCATCATACATTGTTAGATTCGAAAGTGTCTGTCCTACATAATTCTAATATAAAGATTTTGTCTTTTTAGGAGATAACTGCTATTAGGGAACCAAACGTCGTTTCCTTAAGTAAGCTGAGATTTTACCAGCGTCAAATATAAAGTCCACCTGAGTTGGGTGTTGGTACTGTAATTTCCAAGATTTCTTTTAAGGTTACCCAGCATTTTATTTGTCTTTGCTACCTAGTACCATCTTTAGTACAAATAATTCACATAATTATACTTGTAGAATTTAAAATTTATTTATCTATTTCATGCATAAATTATTTCTTGGATATATAATTTCATTATCTAGCTTACCCAATAAGTTTTATGCCGTACTATAACTACTGAAGAAAGATTTATATTTTGCCATACTGAACGAACTAATAGTATAATCACCCGTCCAGCTGTTATCCACATATATCTCATACATCAGAGCACAGGAGACAGTTAACTTAGATGGTTTCCAGGAATGATCAAACTTTTGCGTGGTTTCTTTTTTATCTCTGTTAAAGCAGTCATAACAACACATTAATATACATCCTTCCGGACAGTACACCACTTATGAAAACGAGCCTCTAATAACCAATATGACGTACTTTTCGGAAGGGTGAATATTTACAAGTGCTTGCTGTAGCGGACAAGTCTACATTTAACGATAATCCATTGCGCGCACTAACATCGAATCGTACAAGTGAGACGAATTAAAATGTATTTCTTGTACACACTTGTTAAGTTTTCCTTGGCAGCTGTACACACGAACAAATTTTCTTTGTCCAAAAAGCTGGCGTGACTATAGCTTTGGAACAAGGCTCCTTGGCAAGGAACAAATATCAATTTTTTGCCGTACACACGAGCAAACATAACTTGTCAAGGAAAACTTGTCAAATGTCAAGACAATATTTGCTGTCTGTACTGGACTGGTGGAAGACCTCGAACACATGCATAAGTATCTACCAAACTCTATTTACAGTACACGAGTTTTCAAGCACAGGATAGTCAATCTACCCAAGTAAATACCCTTCCCTCGACCTACAATAACCTACTTCACTCAGTGGTAAGGTATTAGACGGGATAAGGTTTCAAAAGTGAACGTACAGTATAAATATATACCTTTCCTCCCATAGGACGTCAATCGTTCCTCCTGCAGGGTTATTAGCGTTGCGTTCAATGGCTACAAAACTGAAATTTTGGAAACGTAACAACATGATAATTAGTAATTACAAAACATACATCGGACCACAAAAATCTCTTCATTGCGACACACTATTAAATGCGAAGAATTTAGTACTCCAAAGATATCGGATAGTCATGAGGTGAATCCTTACAACATAATGTTGATTAATGTTGGCATAACGATTAAACGATTACCGCGCCAAAATACTACATACTCTATTTAGCTCACTCTCAAATCAGGCCCCTCTCTTAAATAAGTGCCCTAGCTACTTAGCTAATAAGTGCTCTAGCCTCCGCCCCCTTTTCAGTGAATCACATTTATTATCACCCCCCCCCCCCCCCTCAAATCATGCTCACTTGAGATCACTACAAAATATGACTCCCCTGAATGGGAAACTAGTAGATCATTACGGATGTTCCTCCAGAGCAGGTTGTCAATGTTCAAGATTGCACGACAAATAACTAGTTACCTTTGATACTTTTCCCGTGATGTCTTGTTTGGTTCAAGAATTTTAACCCCGTAGTAATCTTTCATATTCGAGAAGACATCCTGTTGAATGTAGAAGAGGAAGCTATGGATATGGAACAAAATTTTACATTTCTTCTCATTGCAATTAACACTGTAACTTATGCGTGCATGGTTTCCATGTATATGCAATAAACAGACCTTGAATTTGGAGAGGTGCTATATCCCTCTAGCGCGCTTCAGCTTCCCTTATTTTGTTCCGATTCATCAGGATTTCAAATAGTTTGACAGTTTGTATGAATATTTGCTGTAGACAATAAAAATCAAGACAACACAATCGATTCTCTACGTTCAAAGCAGTTGCGATTCCGCATCCTTCTATAGGCTGTTCTGACTCGTTCATTTAGCGAAGGTATTTCGAAGTTCTAGTTATATTTACAAACATATACAGTGCTTACATAATATAGTGTTTATCAGTTGGACGCAAAGAGTAACGGGCGTTGTTCAGGTTGTGGAGTTTCTTTTATCGCATTATTCAAGGCCAAATACACGTTTTAGTTGTCAAACCTTGTATTTTCTACACACCTCGTCCTTCGTTGCTCCCCATATTTATATTTACTGGAGGAAAAACGCATATTTCTCATGAAAGTTCCGGGAATCAGGGGGAAAATCGCCGAACCATAATTAAGTCCAAAGAACACTTAATAATGAAATAAAATCCATGTATGATCATGAAACCTGCAGAAAAACTCTTTCCACCTATCTATTCAACCCTGAGTCACTAATGTGAATTTTCCCCTCATCCTCTGCAGGGCACATGCACTAAAAGCTGGGGTGAAATGGCGTTGCCGCATAGCTACTGACGATAAAAATAACTCACCTCAAAGCGAACTCCACCTTTGTTAGTATAAGAGTCTTTCTTGCCACTCGGTAAGATATCTGAATCTGACGTGGAACTGGAATCCGAATCTGAACTCAGGTATTCATTAGTCGGACTTGTTGCTCGTTGTAGTGATGAAGGTTTTGTTGACGGACGACGCTGATTGGCAGTGCCTCCTCCAGTTGCGCGCACCACGAAAGGACTGGGTTCAATTTCAGTTGCAGGCATAAACAACCTTAGCAAAATAGAAAGTAAACTAAAATATAAATACACTGACATTGGCAGACCCACTGGACTGGAAATGAAACTAGATTGGGTATCCATTGTGGAAAAAATGAAGCTGGAAATCAGCTAGTACTTTATATGGACAAACTAATCTGGTATTTTTATAGTTGAAGAAGGCGTCTTATAAAAAGCAAGAGACATTTCCCCATATACTTGGTCCTTTACTAATGGTGGATTTCTATTATTTATTGTTTACTTTTTATTACAGTAGTTTTGAAGTTCAAGTTGTGTATATTTCAACACTGTCTCCAGAATTTTGGGAATGCGTAGTTCTGGCGTGAAGGCAGATAAATTTTTTTTTTTAAGGAGCGCCTCCCTTAAACTCTGTATCCGAAACAGTAAGCGCTATATCCAGTCTACTTCACAGGTAGAGCTATATAGGTGGGATTTTGAGAAACATTTGCCTTAACAACAAGATTCAATAGATATACATGTGTACATATTAGCCTATGCAGGTTACAGTAGTAGCTCTTGTATTGGAAACTGTAGTCTGCAGCTCAGTGTTCAGAGCGTTGCATCAGAATTACAGGGCCGCAGGCTCAATCCCTGCCGCAGGACCTTAGTTGAAGTTTCCATCCACCAAAAATCTTTAATATTATACATCTATTTCAATTAAGGTTGTCCTCGAGCAAAGCGGAAAAGTCGAATACGAGCACGAAAGGCTGCTGCGAATCGCTAAAAAATTAATGACCTTAATTGAAATAGTTGTATACAGTATACGCATTGTGATATTCAGAATCCCAGAAACATTTTTCCAAGATCTGTGCATATCGGAGAGAAGATACAGAAAATACGTTTGGAAAAGTCTTAATCTTGAAAAATTAGTTTTATTAAAATAGGAATCAAATTTCTATCACTATGTATAAATTTGATATTGAGGACGGGATTTTGAACGTTATGCCTGCATAGACCACATTCATACTGTATCTGCATGGCTGCACTGCATGTGCGAATTATTAAATTTGCAGATAGCTTGATTAGTATAGTAACATTATACAGGATTGATCAATACATTTAACATTTCTTACCTGTATGAAGAAGGTAAATTAAATGAAAACAAGAGATCAAGTTCAGATAATTCATTAGGTTGATAATAATCACGAAACAAATCATTTGAATCTTCTTTGACCAATTTATCTCTTTCTTCAGCAAGACTGGTGGAATTGCGGTTTGAGACTAGACAGTACAGAGCGATATTTAACATTTATTTAGCTTTAGCCCTAGGTAAACATGGAAACATTGGTGTGAAAAGATTGATTCCAAACCACGTTTCCCGAAGTTGAACAAAAATGATACATTTCTTCCTAACAAAGATACATTTGGATAACAAAACATCTTTCTGATTTTTTCTCGCAACAATGTTTCTAAGGGTCACAATGGGAATCTTTTCAGGAAACATAGGAACTTTCAAATGTTCCTAAAACAATGATTCCTAGTTTTCCCATGCAGGGCTTCAGTTCCAATGGAGTATCCTGGCGCAGCCGAAACCCTGTAGGTTGCCTGACGCTCGTGAATATAAAACCGGGAAAGGGTATATGACATACCGTATATCATATCGAGAGTCTTGAAATGTACTGTAGATGGGCTCGAGCACCAATGTGCAGTAGCGCAAATATTTTCGTGTTCATTGACTGTGAAAACGATCAATTTCGAAAGAAATGAATGATAATAATTTTGAATTTGCATAGCGGGACTAATTGTCGGGCTGGCTACGCCACTGCCAATGTGAACTGGATTTTCAAATGCCCGCCAGTTCTTTGCTGAGAAACGTACATGCACACGGCGGGCAGATCAATTCTTTACGTCGTGTAACTCTTATTGGAAGACGTGTTATGAAAAATGATATCTGAATTGAAAATAGTCGGTAACAACAGCACGAAACACCAACATGGCAACACTTTTTAAAATCAACGTAGTTCAGCACAACAAACCCGTGCCTATAATAGTTGCATTTTCTTATGACACAAACGGTGCAAAGTGTAATTATGGTATTTACACGAGGGAATGCAAAGCACTCTTACCTTCTTGGCAAGACAACGGCAGCGTAGCAACAACTTCATCATCAAACCATTTCGTGTAACTAAATGAAAATTAACAATAGCATGCAACCATTGGTTTCGTTGGAAATTACTTATAGGAATCAGAAAATGTTCTTTTCAAGTAGAAGAAAAATTCAGTTACACATTGTATATTGCAACTATTTGTGTGGATCATATTAAAGTCAGTGAAGCCCAAAATCCCACGAAGGACTATAATTAGACAGACGTATAATAGGACATAACTGCTTAGTATGCCAAACGACCCGCAAGCCATTTGACGGTCCAAAAGCATTTCTAAGCACCATAGATCCTCTCTGGTATCAAATAATCGCCAACTCAAAAGTCCCATTCGTAACAAATGTAGCTAGAATAAAAGTTATTCCGCGAATAAGAAGTGCATAATAACAACACACAATTTATAAAAACTGTATATTTCGAA